TGAAAAAAGGAGAAAGAGAAGAAAGGAAACTAATGAGCATCCACTGTTCGTTCACTTAATAAATGTTCCCGAAAAACTGCTTCTTTAGGATTGTGCTAGGTACTAGGGATAGAGGGCGTGTAAAAGCAGGCTTGGTCCTTACATTTAAAGTGCTTATTTCTGGGAATGTATATAAAGAATTAAGTAAACACAAATGAATATATAATTATAAATGGTATAAGTCCTGGAATATATATTTTTTAATTTTTATTTTAATTTTTATTTTTTTGAGACAGAGTCTTGCTCTGTAGCCAGGTTGGAGTGCAGTGGGGCAATCTCGGCTCACTGCAACCTCCTCCTCCTGGGTTCAAGCGATTCTTCCACCTCAGCCTCCCAAGTAGCTGGGACCACAGGTTCCTGCCACAACGCCCAGCTAATTTTTGTATTTTTAGTAGAGATGGGGTTTTACCATGTTGGCCAGGATGGTCTCGATCTCTTGCTCATAATCCACCCACCTCGGCCTCCCAAAGTGCTGGGATTACAGGCATGAGCCACTGCGCCCAGCCAAGTCCTAGAATATTACAGTTTACTGGGAGGGAGAATAATGGGAGCAGGGAGATCTTTGAAAGGCAATAATTCAGGAGGGCCCAGGAAAGTCTTTTTGAGGAAGGAATATGTCAATTGAGACCTAGAAGGCAAGTTGTAGTTAGCTAGTGGGCAACAGGTGCATTGGCTTGGTGTGGGAAAGAGCTTGAGTGTGAGTGACTCTTAGGGGGATGAGGCCAGGTAGAGACAGGCAAGAGTCAGATTGAAGGATTTGTAGCCCAAGATAAGGATTTGGGATTTTATCTCAAGGACAGTGAGGCATTTTGGAGGGTTTTCAATCAGAAGAAGGATACGATCTATTTATGTTTAGAATATCATCCAGGCTACGGAAAGGTAACGGAATTGTAGAGGAAGGATTTGAAACAGGGAAACAGGAAGCTCTTTCAGAAATCCAGGTGAGGGTCGGACACCGTGGCTCACACCTGTAATACTAGCACTTTGGGATGCTGAGGCAGGTGGATTGTGTTGAAAAACGTGAGCTTTGAATGAAGAGACCTTCCAAACAGGCTTTGTGTGAGCAACATAGCTGTTTATTCACCTGGCTGTAGGTGGGCTAAGGCCGAAAAGGGCTTTAGCAAAGGGCAATGGGATAGGAGTTGGTTTTATAGGTTTTGGTAGTTTTTTTGGGGTAGGGGTGTTGCAGAGTAAGTTCAGTTACAGTGGTGGGGGTAGGGGCAAGGAATATACAAGTTCACTTACAATGGCAGGGTTGGGTGAGAGGTATTTACATTATCATAGGAACAGACAGTTAATATGGCAGGGTGGGGTGAGGGGCTTGTGGGAAGCTCAGCTGGGATCAGGGACAATGGCTAATGCAGGCAGTGGGAGGGAGACTTCAGCTGGAGACAAGCAGGACTTCAGACTTTCAGGCTCCAGGCTTGCATATGGAGACCTTACAGATTGCTTGAGGCCAGGAGTTCAGGACCAGCCTGGCCAACATGGCAAAATTGTTTCTTTTTTCCTTCATTTTTATTTATTTATTTATTTATTTTTTTAAGAAGGGGTTTCACCATGATGGTCAGGCTGGTCTTGAACTCCTGACCTCAGGTGATCCACCCACCTCGGCCTCCCAAATTACTAGGATTATAGGCGTGAGCCACTGAGCCCGGCCGGCAAAATTGTTTCTACTAAAAATACAAAAATTAGCCAGGCGTGGTCCTGTAATCCCAGCTTCCTAGGAGGCTGAGGCATAAGAATTGCTTCAACCCAGGAGGCGGAGGTTGCAGTGAAAAAAAACCCCACCACTGCACCCCCGTGTGGTAAAAAAAAAAAAAAAAAAAAAAAAAAATCCAAGCAAGATGATGATTTGGATTAGGTCATGGTATTGACAGTGGAGAGGGACAACTGTAAATGGATGAATTTGAAATTGGTGCCCGATGTTATCCTAGATACTGCAAAATATGCTTTCTTATGTAAGCCTCACAACAAATCGGTAAGGGTATTTTACCGATTTTACAGATGACGGAGCTGAGGCTCTGAGAGGTTCAGCCTCGGAATGATACTTCTCTCTGTACAGCAGTGATCTGCCAGATAAAGAAACTGATATTTACACCTCAGGGTAGGTGTCGGGGTGGTCTGCATGATAAAACCTGTCTGAAAGCTTTCAGTCTTCTCTAGATAAAAGAGGTCAATCTAGTTAGTGAATTTCTAGGGGATGGGAGGGGAAGGAGGGAGAAGATTGTGTCAACTAGAGAACTATGTGTGACATCGAACATGATCAGGCCATCAGGACCCCTGGATTATATTCTGTGTGGAGCTTCCTATAGCTGGGCAACATGAAAAACTTAGCCTCTAATGTAACCACCCAGTGGATTTGCTTTGCCCGCTGCCTGTACAGAAATGATTTATTAAGACAGGGGAAATTGCAATGGAGAAAGAGAAGTCACACAGAGCCAGCTGTGCAGGAGACTGAGGTTTTACTATTACTCCAATTGGTCTCCCTGAGCATTTGGGTATTGGAGTTTTTAAAGATAAGTTGGTGGGTAGGGGTTCTGGAAGTGGGGATTGCTGATTGGTCAGGTTAGAGATAGAATCATAGGGGACTAAGTGAGGTTTTCTTGGTGTCTTCTGTTCCTGGGTGGGATCGCAGAACTGGTTGACCCAGATTACTGATCTGGTTTGGGTGGTGTCAGCTGAGCCATAGAGTGCATGGTCTGCGAGATATCTCAAGCACTGATCTTAGGTTTTACAATGGTAATGTTATCCCCAGGAACAATATGGAGAGGTTCAGACTCTTGCAGCCAGAGGCTGCATGACCCCTGAACTGTAATTTCTAATCTTGTAACTAATTTTTTAATCCTACAAAGGCAGACTGGTCCCCAGGCAAGAAGGGCGTCTTTTCAAGAAAAGTCTCACAGTCAAGCGTCAAACCATCAAGTGAATTCCTTCCCAAGGTTGGTTTCGCCTACGCCCAGGAATGAACAAGGACAGCTTAAAAGTTAGAAGCAAGATGGAGTCGGTTAGATCTGGTCTCTTTTACTGTCATAATTTCCTCAGTTATAATTTTTGCAAAAAGGTGGTTTCACTAGAGACATATAACTGTTGATTGACTGAGCTGGAAGCACTCCTTACAGATGGTTGGATACAAACTGTTAGGCCTCCATGTGCAAGCCCAGACCCAGAAAGTCTGAAGTCCTGCCTGCCTCGGCTGATCACCCCCCACCCCCACCTGGCCATTATCCCTGATCACCCAGCAGACTTTCCCCCGACACAAACTTCCCCTCACCGCACCCTGCCATCTTAACTACTGTTAAGCCTTACCGCACCGCCATTGCAACTGAATTTATGGTAATGTATACTCCTTGCCCGTACTCCCACCACTGTAACTGATCTTACTCTGTAACACCCCTGCCCCCTCCCCAAAAGATTTGCCCCAACCTATAAAACCAACTCCTATCATACCACTCTTTGCTAACACCCTTTTTGGCCTTAGCCTACCTGCACCCAGATGAATAAACAGCCATGTTGCTCACACAAAGCCTGTTTGAGAGGTCTCTTTATTCAAAGTATGTGTTTTAACACAAACACCCCACTTACAGATGAGAAAACTAAAGTTCAGAGACGGGGAGAGGCTTGCCAGAGTCACCAAGAATGACAGTAGGAGAGTTGGGGCTACAACCAGGTCTTCTGACTTCCAGCCCACAGGTCCTACCGGACTGAGCTGTGCCATCTCTTTATGGGCCCAAATATCCTTTCAGATTGGAATATTCTGTATCAAATTCTAGTTGAGGAAACTGCTTTAGAGTAGAAGCAGAGAGGAGAATCTCATTTCTGGTCCTAGGAAGTCCCAGCCAGAAACACGAGTCTCTTTCTTCCCACATAGACAACCTCTTAAATCCCCAAATGTAGCCTGTTCCTGAGAAAGGGCATAGGTCTGGGTTATTCCCAGGATTCTAGGCTTACATTCCTCCTTCTCTCCTTCATGCAACAGGTGCGAGCAGGTGCTCTCTTTTCTCTCTCTCTCTCTCTTTTTTTTTTTAAGACAGGGTTTCGCCGGGCTCGGTGGCTCACGCCTATAATCCCAGCACTTTGGGAGGCTGAGGTGGGTGGATCACGAGGTCAAGAGATCAAGACCATCCTGGTCAACATGGTGAAACCCCGTCTCTACTAAAAATACAAAAATTAGCTGGGCATGGTAGCACATGCCTGTAGTCCCAGCTACTCGGGAGGCCGAGGCAGGAGAATTGCTTGAACCCAGGAGGCAGAGTTTGTGGTGAGCCGAGATCGTGCCACTGCACTCCAGCATGGGTAACAAGAGCGAAACTCCATCTCAAAAAAAAAAAAAAAAGACAGGGTTTCACCATGTTGGCCAGGCTGGTCTTGAACTCCTGACTTCAGGTGATCCGCCCGCCTCGGCCTCCCAAAGTGCTGAGATTACAGGCGTGAGCCACCACGCCCGGCCTCTCTCTTTTTCTTTTTTTTTTTTTAAGACGGAGTCTCACTCTTGCCCAGGCTGGAGTGCAATGGTGCAATCTTAGCTCACTCCGCCTCCTAGGTTCAAGCAATTCTCCTGCCTCAGCCTCCCGACAGGTGCCTGCCACCACGCCTGACTAATTTTTGTATTTTTAATAGAGGCAGGGTTTCACCATGTTGATCAGGCTGCTCTCGAACTCCTGACCTGAAGTGATCTGCCCACCTCAGCCTCCCAAAGTGCTAGGAATACAGGCATGAGCCACTGCTCCCGGCTGCTCTCTTTTCTCTTAAAAGCATGCCTTTGAAAAAGGATCTTCTGTCAGTCACTTTTACCGTGGCATGAATTACAGGTAAGCAAATCCCAATAAAGCAGAGGCCCTAAATTCTCTCTCTGCTGTGTGACCCTCATGCAGAAGAGATCGCTGTTCTTCTCTGAGCCTATTTCCTTGTCTTTACAATAAGAAAACAACATAATTTCTGAGGGGCTTGCTATCTTTGACCTTATGGGATCAGAACTTACTAGTTCCGACAACTCCAGGTCCCTGGCACAGAGCAGGTTCACCAGAACTCTTGGCTACCTGGTGAGGTGAGGCTTACCAGGTGGAATGTCATCAATTTTCGGGTTCCACCCCTCCCACCTGTGCCTTCCCTTCAGCTCCTAGTTCTAGTGTTCCTCCAGAGTCTCAGCTAGTCAGAAGCTTCCAGTATACAGAGTCTTTTCCTTCACTGCATTCAGAGGAGGAGCCCTAGCCCCATCCTTCCCCTTCACACTTGTACTGTTTGAGTATAATTTGAGAGACGCACCTTCCTGCCTTAAAGTATCTTTGCCACCCACTGCGGGGAAGTGAGATGTTGATGAGAGAGCAAGAGCTTTGGAGTAAACAGGCTTGGGTTTGGATCTTGACCCTGTGACCTTACCAGCTTTTGTGACCTTGTACATGTCACCCTTGCCCCCATATCCTCAGGCTCTCCACTGGTAGTTGTAGTGCTCATTGCATGCTATGAAGATTAGAGGTGTCTGTAAAGTACCTGTGGAAGAAAAGTATATGAGCTTAAGAAAGCCATCCCTCTGGTTTTTTCCTGAGTGTTTAAAAAGAAGGTGATACTGACAGTTTATTTTCTAAAAACCAAAATGCAACATGTTTTTTATCTTCTACATACTGATTACATGGTAAATGCTCAGTGCATTTTTTATCTTTTTTTTTTTTTTTTTTTTTTTCCAGAGACGGTCTTGCTGTGTCCCCTAGGCTGGAGTGCTGTTGTGTAATCATGGCTCACTGCAGCCTTGAACTCCTGGGCTCAAGGGATCCTCTCCGCTTGGCCTCCCAAAGCACTGGGATTACAGGCATGAGCCACTGTTGTAGGCCTTTACTAACATTTTAATTATAATTGCTGATTGTAAGTTAAGTCAAGTGAATTACTCAGAACATTCTAAATTCTCTCTAAAATAGAAATCTAATTCAAAATTCTCTCCTGCTTAAAAAATCTTTAGCAGCTTCCCATAGCCGACATGGTATAAAGCCCAAACTTTATACTGCCACTGAGTCCTTCCTTCCTTCCTTCCTTCCTTCCTTCCTTCCTTCCTTCCTTCCTTCCTCCCTCCCTCCCTCCCTTCCTTCCTTCCTTCCTTCTTTCCTTCCTTTCTTCCTACCTTTTCTACTGCTCCTCCAGAGTCTCAGCTAGTCAGAAGCTCCCAGGATGCAGTTCCCTCCCCTCCCCCCCCCTCCCCCCCCCCCCCTTTCCCCTCTCTTTCCTTTTCTCTTTCTTTCCTTTCTTTCTTACAGTGTCTTGCTCTGTTGCCCAGGCTAGAGTGCAGTAGCTCAACCTGAGCTCCCTTCAGCCTCAACCTCTTGGGTGCAAGGGATCTTCCACCTCAGCCCTCTGAGACGCAGGGGCACAGGCATGCACCACCATACATGTCAAATTTCTTGTATGTTTTGTAGAGACAGAGTTTCACCATGTTGCCCAGATTGATCTCTAACTCCTGAGCTCAAGCAGTCGACCCACCTTGGCTTCCCAAAGTGCTGGAATTATAGGCATGAGCCACCATTCCTGGCCATGTTTTCTTTTCCAGTTTTTTTTTGAGACAGATTCTTGCTCTGTTACCAGGCTGGAATGCAGTGGCACTATCTTGGCTCACTACAACCTCCACCTCCTGGGTTCAAGTGATTCTCCTGCCTCGGCCTCCTGAGTAGCTGGAATTACAGGCATCCACCACCACACCTGGCTAATTTTTGTATTTTTAGTAGAGACAAGGTTTTGCCATGTTGGCCAGGCTGGTCTTGAACTCCTGACCTCAGGCAATCTGTCCACCTCAGTCTCCTAAAGTTATGGGATTACAGGCGTGAGCCACTGTGCCCGGCTGGCCATGTTTTCTCAATACTCTGGTCCCAACCTGCTTTTGTAGTCTTAAGTCTTTGGTATAGTTTTTAAAAAAGATAGGATTTGATATCCCACCTTAGCCACTTAACCTGTTTCCTTCTCTGTGATACTGGAATAGTAATTTCTACCTCACAGATTAAATAATAGTAGCTTATGTTAGCTGTTAGTTATTGCAGTTAATGAGTGCTGGCTAGTGCATAAGAACTCGACAAACAGGCAGGGCGTGGTGGCTCATGCCTGTAATCCAAGCACTTTGGAGGCCAAGGCGGGTGGATCACCTGAGATCGGGAGTTGAAGACCAGCCTGACCAACATGGTGAAACCCCGTTTTAAAAAATAAATAAATAAATAAAAATAAATAAATAAAAAAGAGCTTGACAAACATTATCTCAATCCTGACAAGAGCTGAATTTTTATTTTTGTATGAGAAAATTTAAACTTATACAAGTTAAAAAAAACTATCAAATATAACAGTTTCCAAATACAGCACAGTTAAACCCAGGGTAGCAGCTATCACAGTATATGGTGTCATCCTTGAAAGCACATATTTGAAAGGACTTTGCATACAGTAAAGTGCTGTGAAAATTGGCTATTAATCACTGTCATCACCTTCTCCTCTCTTGGATCCAATGCTCTGATTACACAGAGCAATTTACCACTTTCCATAGCATTATTATTATTTTTTTGAGATGGAGTTTTACTCTTTCACCCAGACTGCAGGGAATTGGTGAGATCTCACCCCACTGCAACTTCTGCCCCCCGGGTTCAAGCAATTCTCCTGCCTCAGCATCCTGAGTAGCTGGGATTTTAGGCATCTGCCACAACGCTGTGCTAATTTTTGTATTTTTTTTTTTTTTTGAGACAGTCTCACTCTGTTGCCCAGGCTGGAGTGCAGTGGCATGATCCCAGCTCACTGCAACCTCCACCTCCCAGGTTCAAGCAATTCTCTGCCTCAGCCTCCCAAATAGCCGGGATTACAGGTGCCTGCCACCATGCCCAGCTAATTTTTGTATTTTTAGTAAAGGCGGGATTTCACCATCTTGGCCAGGCTGGTCTTGAACTCCTGACCTCATGATCCACGTGCCTCAGCCTCCCAAAGTGCTGGGATTACAGGTATAAGCCACCACTCCCAGCCAATATTCATTTGTTATAAATTCAGTGAAACCAACCAAAGGGTCTTTAATTATGACAAAAATCTAAAGTGGCCAGGCGTGGTGGTGTGTGCCTGTAGTTCCAGCTACTCAGGAGGCTGAAGCTGGAGGATCGCTTGAGTCCAGGAGTTCTGGGCTCTAGCGTGCTATGCCAATCGAGTGTCTGCACTAAGTTTGGCATCAATATGGTGGCCTCCCGGGAGCGGGGAACTACCAGTTTGCCTAAGGAGGGGTGAACTGGCCCAGGTTGGAAATGGAGCAGGTCAAAACTCCCACGCTGATCAGTAGTGGGATCGCGCCTGTGAATAGCCACTGCACTCCAGCCTGGGCAACATAGCGAGACTCTGTCTCAAAAAAAAACAACAACATCTAAAGTGATTGTTGGATAATGTTTAGGAGAAAAATAGCAGTGTAATTAAAGCCATGTCCAACAGATGGCACAATAGCCATGGTCAAAGCCACCTGAGAGGTGCTCTCCTGCATCACATTCACAAAGCTTTTTTACATATATTGTCTACTTGCATTATTTTCTCCATCTTACAAGTGAAGAGGAAAATGAGGAGACTTTTCCAAATCCCAGAATCTTTTAGGAACACATTATCAATTAGGTAAAGGCGATTTTAAGGGTCTAACAGAGGTCCTGGGTGATTTTCCTTCCATATGACCTTCCTCATTCCTTGAAAATACATGAAATGTTCCTTTAAAATTTAAATGTTTGAATGGGGGGAGGGGAGAGTGGCAAATAATTTAATTCATTTGCGCTTAAGCATAAAAAAGTTTCAAATATATTCTTGAGAGTCTGACCTAAGCAGATTGGATGGCCACAGGGAGAGTGCACAGAAGCACTGGGTAGGGAAGGGCAAGCAGAATGGTAGGCAGTTTCATTAACATAACACATTTTCCATGGGCCAGCTTGGTTCTCTATTGCTGTAGCTATTGCCAAGGGACTCCATTCAAGGGATTTGTTATCCCAGGAATTTGAGAGCACAATTCAGGACAGTTAATAATCAAGTAGTAATGCCTGGGAAATTCTCAAGGAATCCTTCTCAGCATCCTCTGGTCAGAAGTTAGAAAACAGTGAGTCAAATCTCAGGTTATAAGAATGAAACCAGGCTGAGGTGGATGGATCATCTGAGGTCAGGAGTTCGAGACCAGCCTGGCCAACATGGCGAAACATAAAAATATAAAAATTAGCCGGGCATGGTGGCACTGCCTGCAGTCCCAGCTACTCGGGAGGCTGAGGCAGAAGAATCTCTTGAACCCGGGAGGCAGAGTTTGCACTGAGCTGAGATCACGCCACTGCACTCCAACCTGGATGGCAGAGCGAGACTCCATCTCAAAAAATAATAATAATAGGCTCGCGGAGCGAGCTCCGGAGGGAAGTCCCGAGACAAAGGGAAGCGCCGCCGCCGCCGCCGCCGACAGGCGGAGACAAAGGGAAGGTCCTCCGCCTATCCGCGACGCGCTCGCCGAGGCCCTGGCCGCCCGAGGGACTCTGAACTTGTCAGCGATCGCCCTCAGCAGACTCACTCAGGAGAGGAAAGCGTGGAGAAAAGACCACCCGTTTGGTTTTGTAGCTGTTCCAACAAAAAATCCCGATGGCACGATGAACCTCATGAACTGGGAGTGCACCATTCTAGGAAACAAAGGGACTCTACGGGAAGGAGGCTTGTTTAAACTACAGATGCTTTTCAAAGATGACTATCCATCTTCGCCACCGAAATGTAAATTTGAACCACCGTTTTTTTACCCAAATATGTACCCTTTGGGGACAGTGCGCCTGTCCATCTTAGAGGAGGATAAAGACTGGAGGCCAGCCATCACAATCAAACAGATCCTATTAGGAATACAGGAACTTCTAAATGAACCACATATCCAAGGCCCAGCTCAAGCAGAGGCCTACACGATTTACTGCCAAAAAAGAGTGGAGTATGAGAAGGGGGTTCAAGCACAAGCCGAGAGGTTTGCACTGTCATAAGCAGCGACCTTGTGGCATCGCAAAAAGGAAGGAATTGGTTTGGCAAGAACTTGTTTACAACGTTTTTGCAAATCTAAAGTTGTTCCGTACAATGACTAGTAACCTGGGTGGGGGGTTCGGTGGGCGCCATCTTCCATTGCCACTGCCGGTACGCAGTGTTGATTCGCTCAGTTGCCCGTTTTTCATAGAGTCTCTTCCTTCAGTCTTTTGTATTTTGATTGTTATGTAAAACTTGGTTTTTGTTTTTTTTGTTTTTTTTGAGACGGAGTTTCGCTCTTGTTACCCAGGCTGGAGTGCAATGGCGCGATCTCGGCTCACCGCAACCTCCGCCTCCTGGGTTCAGGCAATTCTCCTGCCTCAGCCTCCTGAGTAGCTGGGATTACAGGCACGCGCCACCATGCCCAGCTAATATTTTGTATTTTTAGTAGAGATGGGGTTTCACCGTGTTGACCAGGATGGTCTCGATCTCTTGACCTCGTGATCCACCCGCCTCGGCCTCCCAAAGTGCTGGGATTACAGGCGTGAGCCACCGCGCCCGGCCTAAAACTTGGTTTTAATATTGATGTCAGTATTTCAACTGCTGCAAAATGATAAACTTTTATACTTGGATAAGCCCCTAGGAGTGGGTCCTCGCTCTCTGATGCAGGCACGTTTCTCACGGCCCCGCCCCGGCCGGCTGTCTGGACATGCGCCCTCTCTCAGGCAGCTCCTCTAGGGCCTGGGCTGTGTTGCCTTCAAGCCTCAAATCCCAGGTCAGCAGCCTCTCTGTTCTGCGTCACTTCCTTTGTGTTTATATGGCGTTTTGTCTGTGTTGCTGTTTAGAGTAAATAAACTATTTATACATAATAATAATAATAATAAAAAGAATGAAACCTGGGGCCAGGTGCGGTGGCTCACACCTGTAATCCCAGCCTTTTGGGAGGCTGAGGTGGGTGGATCACCTGAGGTCCGGAGTTTGAGACCATCCTGGCTAACATGCTGAAACCCCGTCTCTACTAAAAATACAAAATTAGCTGGGCGTGGTGGCATATGCCTGTAATCCCAGCTGCTCAGGAGGCTGAGGTAGGAGAATTGCTTGAACCTGGGAGGCAGAGGTTGTAGTGAGCCAGCATCACTCCACTGCATTCCATTCCAGCCTGGGCTGCTGTGTCTCCGTGTCAAAAAAAAAAAAAGAAAGAAAGAAAGAAAAAAAGAAACCTGGAGTAAAATAGTAAAATCTGCAATTCCAGATTTGGCACCTGGAGTTCAGGATTAGAATCGCAGACTTTGATAGAACTTGAAGGTCACAAATAGAATCCAGAGGTTACAGATTATAATTTTGTGGTCCAAATGTATAGTCTTTGTTTGTCATTATTAAAATTCCTTACATATTGTGGAATCTAACTGTAGGATTCAAGTTCAGAGAATAGATCCTATCTTCTCAATATTAGAATTCTAGGGTCCCAAGTAGCAGCTGGGTTCTAATGGTAAAATGCTTAGACGCAGAGAATAAAACCAGAAGTGGCAGGAGTAGATTTTTAGAGTTTGGTATTAGAGTCTCAGACTCTGAGGTTTGCAACTGTAGTTCTAATAGTAGGATCTCAAATTATGAAAGTAAAATGTAGAGGTTCAACAGTGGAATTTTAGTTTCAGAGAAAGAGCCTGGAGAAAGAACCTAGTTGAGTGCCTCAACTAGAATCTTGATTCATAAGAATAGAATTGGGAGTTATATTCTTAAAATCTTATACTTTGAGTCTGGAACTTTAGTTTCAATAATGCAATGCAGATATTGAAGTTTAAAATATGAGGTTCAGAGAGCATAATTTTGAGTTCCAAAGAGGTATCTTGAGTTTATATAGTAGAACCTTGAGGTACAATAGTAAATTATGAAATTCTAAGATTGGATTCTAGCATATTAGATTAGATTTTAGCATATTAGCATATTAGATTAGTATTACGATTAACCTCCAATAGTAATAATGCTAATGGCTAACATTTATTAAGTGCTTACTATGTGCCAGGCATTGTTGTAAGTATTCCTATTGTTGTTGTTATTGCATTTAGTGCTCAAAAAAATAAATCCTGGCAGGTGAATATTATTGTTATTACTGTGTTATAGATGAGGAAACTGAGGCATGGAGAGGTTAATTTTCCAAAGGTCACACACCTGAGAAGTACAGAAATGGTATCTAACCGTAAGTAGTCTGGCTCCAGAGCTCATGTTTTTAACCTCTGTGATAAGTGCCTCTAGATTCTAGAGTGTAGGAGAACCTTGAATTTCACTACTATAATAACTTTGGGGTTTAGTCAATAGAACCTAGAGTTACTATAATAGAAACCGTAATTCCAGTGACAGCATCTTGGGTTTTGATAATATAATTTGTATGTCCAATGGTAGAATACAATACAATCTGGAGTTTCCAACAAATTCAGTTCTAAAATTAGGGTTCCCCTGGCCAGGTACGGTGGCTCACACCTGCAATCCTAGCATTTTACGAGGCCAAGGCAGGCAGATCACCTGAGGTCAGGAGTTTGAGGCCAGCTTGGCCAACATGGTGAAACTTCGTCTCTACTAAAAATACAAAAATTAGCCGGGTGTGGTGTTAGGCGCCTGTAATCTCAGCTACTGAGGAGGCTGAGGCAGGAGACTCGATAGAACCTGGGAGGCAGAGGTTGCAGTGAGCCGAGATGGTGCCATTGTACTCTAGCCTGGGCAACAAGAGTGAAACTCTGTCTCAATAAATAAATAAATTTAATTTAATTACAGTTCCCAATGAAGAATTTTGTTTTCATCTCAATAAGTGGAGTCCAAGATTCTTTTTTGTTTGTTTGTTTGTTCTATTTTGTTTTTATTTTGTTTTGGAGTCCAAGATTCTACTATCAAAGCTTTCATCTCAGCTGTGACCTTCAGGTCTAATTCAAATAATGGAATCTATGTTTCTGAGAGTAAAGCCTAAGTTCTTATAGAATTTTAGTTTCTAAGAGTAGAACCTTGAGTTTTTTTTTTTTTAACTTTAGGTTCATACTATATCTGGCATTTCTCCCCATATTATCCCTCCCCACCCTCTCCTCCCTCTCCAGCCCCTATTGTCTCTCCCCTACCCCCCTCAACTGTCCCCTGTGTGTGATGCTCCTCTCCCTGAGTCCACGTGTTCCCATTGTTCAACACCCACCTATGAGTGAGAACATACGGTGCTTGGTTTTCTGCTCTGGGTCAGTTTGCTGAAATGATGGTTTCCAGATTCAACCAAGTCCCTACAAAGGACACGAACTCATTGTTTTTATGGCTGCATAGTATTCCATGGTGTATATGTACCACATTTTCTTTGTCCAGTCTGTCATTGATGGGCATTTGGGTTGGTTCCACGTCTTTGCTATTGTAGAACTTTGAGTTTTAATAGTAGAATCTTCTTGGGAGACTAAGACATGGAGTTTTAATAGTAGAATCTAGAATATTAAAGTAGATCAAGTTCCAATATTCCAATAATGGAATTTTAAGTTTCAATAGAAGACTGTGAGCTCTGATAATAGGGACTTTGGTTCAGAGAATACAATGTTGGGTTCAGAGAATTAATGGCAAAAATGGGGTATATGATTACAAGAACACTCCAGGAGTTCTAATGTTAGAATCTTAGGCCTTGATAGTAGAAACTGTGTTATTAAAATATTAGAATCTGGGGGTTAGGGAATAGAATCTGGAGTTACCAAAATAGAAGCTATAGTTTTAAAAGCAGTATCTTTGGCTTTAATGCAAGTAGCTGATTGCCCAATGGGAGGATAGGGGATTCACAGGATGTAATCTGGAGTTCCAAACATAAATTACTGGGTTTGTAGAGTTGAATCTATAATAGGACAATTTCAATTTTAATAGAACAATTTTAGTAGAATCATAGTCAAATATTCTAACCTGGTAGAATCAGGTTAGAATCTGGGGTTTACAGAATAGAACCTGGAAATTAATTGCAGGACTGAAAGTAGAAGTTGGAGTTGTGATGATGGACTCTTAATCTAGTTAGTGTTCATCTCAGTTTTTAATTTTTATCCTGTGTTAGTACTGGATTTATTGTACCTCCTTATTAAAAATCACTGTTTCGCTGGGCGCGGTGGCTCACGCCTATAATCCCAGCACTTTGGGAGGCCGAGGCGTGTGGATCATCAGGTCAAGAGATTGAGACCGTCCTGGTCAACATGGTGAAACCCTGCCTCTACAAAAAAAAAAAAAAAGAAAAAGAAAAAGAGTGGAGGCAGTGCATTTGTGCACTTCAAGTGGGAAAATATTCAAATAAAAACATGGAAATAGGGTCTAGCGTGATGTACACTAGCAATTTTTTCAGCAAAGAACTATTTATGGGGTGCCTGCTATTCACCAGGCACAATGTAGGCCTGGGAAAAACAAAGAGAAAGCACAAGAGGTTTCTGTCCCTGAGGAGATCATGTAAAAAAAAAATTACAGTGACTTTGAAGTTAGACAAACAGACCTGGGTTTGAAAAACAGGCACACACATTAACTTATTAGCTATGCAACTAGGTTAGCCTCTTTATATCTCTGAATTAATCTGTCTATAAAAAGGATAAGGATACTTTCTTTGAAGAGTGGTTGTGAGGATTCATGAGAGTGTGTGTGTGTGTGTGTGTGTGTGTGTGTAAAGAGGCATATGGGGGATGCTAGGTATTATTAATTGTTCAAATAGAGTTATATACAAAGTGTAATGAGACTAATCCTGAATAATGGTAGGATGCATCTGACAATCGGAAAAGCAGAAGGGCATTTCAGGCAGAGGAAACAGAAGTTCCAAAAGTACTGGGCATGAAAGGGAATAAGTAGCCGGGCACAGTGGCTCACGCCTCTAATCCTAGCACTTTGGGAGGCTGAGGTGGGTGGATCACCTGAGGTCAGGAGTTCAAGACCAGCCTGGCCATTATGGTGAACCACATCTTTTAAAAAAAAAAAGGGAATAAGTAGTTCAGAAGACCTGGTCAGAGCCTGGGAAGCTGGGCTGCAGCCAGACAGTAAACGTCTTTATTGCTAGGGTAATGGCCTTCAGGTGATGGCAAACCATTGAAATATTGTTAATGGGGGACCCACTCAACAAAAATATATTGAACCGGTTCAGAACCTCACTGAATAATAGACCACTATAGGAGAGATGGTCTTTCTTATGTATACCTTATACAAATTTATCAGGAGAGATAGTACATATACCCAAGATAAAAAACAGTATTGGCGTAGAAAGAAAAGAATGAGC